CGACATCGCCGGGTCCGCGCACATCGTCCAGGAGGTCCGGAGAGCGTACATGGGGGCCTCGATGGCGCGCATGGCTCCCAGGGGTCGGCCTCTTGTCCCCTCTTGGGCATCCGTTCAGAGGATCAGCCAGGCCACTCCGCTGGGTGCGTCGGGGTGGGTGGAGCGCGCCTGGATAGACGCGCATCGTCTTGTATGTTCGACTGCGACGGCCTCCTTCCGAGTCCACGGGGGGGACACATGTCAGACAATCTCTTCGGAGCCGTCGCCCTCGCGCTCCATCTGGCTAGGGGGCTCCTTGTACAGGCGGCAATGGTCGACCACGTGTGCATACCAGCCCCTTCGCTTATCCACAAAGTGCCAAGGACCATGTTTTTGGACGTGGCACGAGCCTCCATCCCTTGGGCGCCATCTCCGCTTGGCTGAAATCCTCTCAGAGTGTGCGGTGAGGTTGTCTGTCGGAACCGGGAACCGCCAGAAGGGCTCAGAGCCTTGAGTCAGATGCGCCATGGAGGAAACTGGTGACCGGGAAAAGGAGGCGGAGTGGTGGTGGGAAGGGAGAGGGTCAGAGGGGAACCGAGCAGGGTACGTACGTATAGAGAGAGAGAGAAGGAGAGAGAGAGAGAGAGAGAGAGAAAGAGAGAGAGAGAGAGAGAGCAAAGTAATGGGGGGAACATCGGGAGAGGAAGAGGGGCACGTGCGTACACAACGACAATCAAGGGGGGGGAGGAGGCCGCGATGCCGAAGCAGCGTTCTCCGCCTCCCGTTCCCGCCGGCGCCGCTGCGCGCCCGAGCCACTCAGGCCGACGCGGCGCTGGCAGACTCGTGGCCAGAAGCCAGATCACCCGGCCCAGTCCAGCTGAGTCCCGCCTAGTCCCGAAGTCTGGCGTAGCCCTGCCCTGTGCCCCACCCAGCCGAACTTTGGCTCAGTGGCCACTCGATCGCCACCAATCGTTCTTACGAACATACTCAAGGAGTTGGCCCTTGTGTTTATATCAATAGAGAGAGAGAGAGAGAGAGAGAGAGAACAAAAAAAAAAAAAAATGTGTGCGTGTGTGTTTCAAAGAGTCATAGTTTTGGGCGGAGCGGATGCCGGGGAGGCCCGCGGCCTCGCGCGCAGGTGGACTGCGAGAACCTGCGGCAGCAGGCCAGGGACGCCAGCTCGGCCGAGCCGGAGATGGGCGCGGCGTGCCTCCGGGAGCGGATCGCCGAGCTGGAGGAGGAGAACCGCCGCATGCACGAGGCTCTGGCGGGCACCCATCCCTCAGAATGCAGACCATGGGGAGCTATGGTGCACACATTGTTCATTTTGAATAATTCGAAAGTTCTGTGGTTTTTGCGGGGCCAAGATCCTTTCATTTCGAATTCCTCTCTCCTGGGCCTCTTCCTGGCCACGATGGGGGCCAGGAACAGTTAGACTCGAGCACCATTAGAAAGGAGCACGATCAGAAACGAACGGCGTGTAGCTGCATGCGGGTCGTTTCCCGTGTTCTGCATTCGGCTCGCGTTCCCGCGGTGTCCGCGGCGCCCAGATGGCGCCCCGATGGCGTCCCGAGCGTCCCGGCAGCGTCGGGTAGCATCGGACAGCGCCGCGAAAGCCAAAGGGCGCCCTCGAAGGCGCGCGAAGCTCTTCGCGCGACGTGCTTCGCGGTTCGGCTCCGCTTCCTCCCCATCCTCCCCTTCTCCCCCTGGGGGGCGGCGCGAGGGCGCGACGATGCTCGCGCTCCCGCGCAGCGCAAAAGCGCGAAGTTCGGCGCCCCTGGTCGCGTCTGATGGCATCGGACGCTAGCGGGCACCCTCTCAGGAGCGCGCGCGTCACGGATGCTTCACCGGACCTGCATTCTCTCTCACATCCCTTCCGCACCCTCGGCCCCAAGGTAAATACATACAAAGCAACGTAAAACAATGCAGCGCAACGCAACGCAAGATAAAGCACCAAAAAACAATGCACAGCAATCCAAAGTACTACAAGCAACGCAATGCAACGCAATGCCAAGCAATGCAAAGCTTCGAAAAGCAATGCGAAGCAAAAGGAAGCAATGGGAAGCAACGCAAAGCAAAGCAATGCGAAGCAATGCGAAGCAATTCAAAACCGGCGGCAGCGGGTGGCGACGAGGCGGCGACGAGGCGGCAATGAGGCGGCGACGGCGGCCACAGCGGCCAGAGTGGCCCGCAGGCCCAGACGACGGGCGGCGACGAGGCGGCGACGGCGGCCACATGGCGGCCAAAGCGGCACATAGGCCCAGTTCCGTAGAAAAGCGGTAAGAACCCCAGAGTGCAAGCACCGTTTGAGAAAGAGACCTTCACATTCGGAGGTCCTCACGGATCTCTTCGGATCGATGCTGGGCACCTCTGGCGGCACCTCCTGCGGCGCCTCCGGAGCGCACCACGCGCAAGGGAGGGGGGGCCAGTGCCGATCCCAAAAAGCAGCACGTGCCGCTGGCAGTTTATGTTTTTGCTCGGTTCGCAACCCTTTCGAATCGCAGGCGATTTGTCCCCCCGAATCCCCGAGATCCCGCCGAAGAGGAGGGGAGCTCGGGGATATTCCCCGAGGTTGCTGTTCAGACGCACCCATCATCGAGGATGAGTGTCCACCCATCGCACTCCTGATTGAACCAGGGTTCACTTGCTTTGCCCAGACGGAAATCGGCCAAAGTGGGCGATTTGGATCGTTATGCCCCCCCGGTGAGCAAAGAAAGAATGTGTTCAATCGGACATGCGATCTTCCTGTTCCTCCGCCCCAGCTTTTTTTCTTTCTCCAAATAGGCAACAAATAAAGACGGGAGGTATTCTTAGTTGTCGGCCTCAGGGACCCCTCGCAGGAAGCAGGAGTGCCAGAAACGATTACATATGACAAGCTGGCCGTGAGGTCGCTATCTCAAGGGAACCCGTTTCGAAGACACCCCGACGTCGGTTCTCTGTAACATTGAGGGGCCTCTCGGGCCGCCTGGAGACATTCTGTGGGCCCCGCCTGGGCCCTCGCATCAGGGCGTCGCATCAACGGACCGCGTTTGCGCTGCTTCTCATACCTCCTGTTTGCGGAGGAGGAGGAGGAAGAGGAACAGACGCAATGAAGAAGAGGGGTCCCACGGGAAACAGGTCATGGAGCTCTGTTGCGGCAAATGTCGAGCTCCCGAGGGCGTCCGCGCCCCCCCGCGGGCCCTGGGGCCGTGGACGAGTCATCACTGCGTGAAGAATTGGTCCTGTCGAAATCGGCGGGGACGCGAGGGGGGGGGGAAGAGAGAGAAGGAGAAGGCCTTCTCAGAAGGCGGCGTCGGACTTCTCCAACACGCCCTCGCGCCTCCTGAGAGGTGTCCTGTGCCATCCTGGAGGGCTCAGACAATTCTTTCGGGAGTCCCGGGAACTCCCGAGCCTTCCGAGAGGCCCGCCCCTTCTGGCCTCACCCCCGGGCCTCGCCGCCAACAAAAGCTCTGGGGTCTAACACCCGCTGGCCCTCAGGACTCACCGAGCGCGTTTCCACGATTCGCAAAGGTTCCTGCTCGCAAACGTCCGAACAAAAAGCCCACGGTCGCCTCGATGCAATCACCATCCCAACTCCCCCACGGCGGATCCAGGCCATCTGCGAGCAGTGACCTTGCGAGCAGTAGACCGCGCTGGCCCAGGGACCCTGGCCTTCGTGCCAGAGCTGGGCGGCGGCGGCGGCGGCGGCGGCGGCGACGACACGCGGGCGTTCGACACGTTGGGCCTGTCTCCTCGCATCCTCTCTTCACCGAGGAGGAGGGGGAGGAGGAGGAGGAGGAGGACGAGGACGAGGAGGAGGAGGAGAAGGAGGAGGAGGGACGACGCGTGGGCGTTCGGCGGGGGGAGCTGGGCGAGGCGAGGGCCGCAGCGGGGGGGTGCGGGGCAGGGATGGGGCGCCCGCGAAGCGGCGGCCCGGCCAGGAGGATCGGCAGGCCGGCGTTGTAATTACATCGGGGGGCGGCCAAGAGGGGGGTGATGACTGGGGGGGGGGGGGATACCATGGCGTGGGCCACGAGAGTTCCCCAAAATTTCATCGCTCTCTTCTTTCATTGCGTCCCGGCCCCCCCCCCTGGGCCGCGCACGTGCCGCCGCCACGAGTTGCGCCCCCCCCCTCTTGGACGCCCCCCTCCTGGCCGCCCCCGAGTAAAGGCGAGGCCCGCTGTTCTCGGGGTGGCGCGTGGCTCGGGTTCTCCTGCACACCCGTGCACCAGGAGTTCGGAGCCCCTGCTCGTTGTCGCTCGGTCTCTCCCTCTCGCTGGCTCGCTCGCTCGCTCGCTCTCTCTCTCTCTCTCTTCGTCTTCGCCCCCTCGGCTCCGCTGCAGAGTTCGGACCCCGTTCGTTTCGTCGCCGTCGTCGGCTACACGGTCGTCGAATTTCCCCCCCCCCCCCTCCCCCACCATGGCCCCGGTGAAACCTGCCAGAGAAAGGAACCATGGCTCTTCTCGCACACTGTTTCACGTAGAACGGTGTGGAGGTAGGCTTGACACAAGTCCATGATTTCCCGCGGAAGGCAGCCAAGAGGCAAAGGCCGTTAACATCCTCAATGTGTTCGGGCGTTGTGCGTTCACCAGTTTCAGCTCGAAGTGTCTCGTGGATGTACCCCAGGGGCCTTATCTTAGACTAAGAAGTTTCATCAAGCCCCCTGGAGCCCCCCAAGGACCCATGACGCCCCACAGATGCCCCAACATGGCCTTCAAAACGATCCCAACACGACGCTGCACTGGCCCAATCTTTCCCCAGAGGCGCCTTCAGCCGGACCCCACTCCGCCCGAAACTGCCCCTGAGAACCCAAGAGGCCCGCTTGCGGAAGAAATGCCCCGAGAGAGCTCCGCACATTCTAGCCGAGTGTGGTTGAAAGCGCTGGCTCAAGCTTGCTTGCTTCGAGCTGGAAGTTTTTTTGGGGAGGTGGCATGGGCAGCGCCTGCCAGAAGGCGAGCGCGTCCGCCCCCCCCGAGGCCGCTGCCGCCAGCCCCGCCGCCGCGCCGGTCTCCCCGATGGCAGTGCAAGAGAAGCTGTGGGCTGCTGTCGCCGCCCTTCGAGACAAGTGCCCCCTGGTGCAGTGCTTGACCAATTTTGTCTCCATGGACATCATGGCTAACGGTCTGCTCGCCCTCGGCGCCTCTCCCGCCATGGTGCACGCCATTGGTGAGCTCGAGGTGGCGGTGCCAATCGTTGGTCAGATTGGCGGCGCCGTGAGCATCAACATTGGCACCCTCGACGAGCGATGGATCGAGTCCTTCAAGAAGACGGTCGCTCTCTGCAAGGCAAGCAGCGTACCGTGGGTCCTCGACCCCGTCGCAGCCAACTTCACTCCGCTCCGCACGCAGACCTCCATCGAGCTCATGGAGATCTATCCGCCGGCCGTATTGCGCGGCAACGGCTCCGAGATCGTGGCCCTCGCAGGCGCCGCGGGCGGCGGGAAGGGCGTCGACTCGACACTGGGCTCGGGGGCCGCCCTGGAGGCTGCCAAATCCCTCGCGTCGAGGTTTGGGTGCGTGGTGTGCGTCTCTGGTGCCACGGACTACGTCGTGGGGCCAGCCTCAGACTGCCCAGTCATGACCTGCCCGCATGGCCACGAGATGCTCACCAAGGTCACGGCCTGCGGGTGCCTCCTCTCGTCCGTCATTGCAGCTTTTGTTTGCTCCAGACCTGAAGGTATGGGCATCCAGGAGTCCACAATCCTGGCTTGCACGTACTATTGTTTGGCTGCGGAGGTGGCAATGCGGACAAGTGCTGGGCCGGGCACCTTCCGCGTCCAATTCCTAGATTGCCTGTATTCGCTGAACAAGGAGACGCCCGACCTACCCGAGTTGCTCACCAAGCTTGGCTGAGCGTTATTTGCGAATTCGTGGGTAGAAGTTTTAAGGCTGCATATATTCGCGTCATGCCGCAGATCGGCGGTGACAACGAAAGAGCTTCGACGTGCCACTTGCTCTCCATTATCCTCCTGTCCATCGCCGCTCCCTTGTGCTAGAGCCAGGGCCGCTTGCACCCTGCTCTTCGAGCTCACAGGTGTCGGGGCCCAGGAGGACTTTGGGGGGAGAGATTATCGTCCCCGTTCCTTCTGCCAGAAGGGTGGAGGCCAGGAAAAGGAAGAGGAGGAGGAGGAGGAGCATCGGCAGTGCAGCAGCAGGGGCGGGAGCAGAAGGAGGAGGATGAGGAAGGTGACGGGGACGATGGAGGGGGGGAGATGGGCCAATGGGCAGAGGGAGGGGAAACGAGAATGAGGGGGCAGGAGAGGGAGGAAGGGGGCTCGAGAGAAGAGAGGGAAGCAAGCAGGGAGGGAGCTGGAAGCATTGAGCACGAGGGAAGCAGCAGGAATGTGGGAGGAGGGGGGAGGCCGGACGGACGGGCGTGGACGGAGGAGGACGCGGAGGGATATCAGGGGGCACCAGGGACGAGGGATGGGAGGGAAGGCGGGAGAGAGGAGGGAGGACGGACGAGGAGGAGGAAGGGTGGAGGTCGGAGGAAAGAACCAGGGTAGGTTCGCGTCGTGTCGACCGGCGGCGACCCCGCCGCGGGCGCTCGAGGTGGAACGCCGCCAGTGGCCCAGAATCGGCCTACATGGAACGATCGGCCAATCGAGAAGTCGCCACGCGGTGTCAGACATCAACGCCGGGGTCCTCACGACACGACCCTTGGGGGCGTTGTTCGAGGAATGTGCCCAGGAGGCCTCAGACCTTTCTGGGGGGATTCCTTATCTCATGAGGGCGGCGGCGATATTCATCGCCAGTCCACGATTGGTGTTCCACCAGCTTCCAGACCCTGGAGTCCTTATCCAATGGTTCCTTACCCAATGCCCTCACCGCAGGAGGGAGAGAGGGGGAGGAGGGCGAGGAGGAGGAGGAGGAGGAGGAGGTTCAGGTGGGGGTGGAGAAGAGAAGTTGTAGAAGGATGAGGAGGACGAGGATGGGAAGGCAGGGAGGGAGGGAGCAAGCGGAACCTTTTTCATCGCTTTCGGCATTTGGAGGCCGTTTTCAGGCTCCTCTCTGATAGCCACTTTTATCCTTCTGACCTTCTCTGACCTCTCTTGCGGCAGTATTGCTCCTCATTCCGTCGCCACCCTCTCCGACATCCGACGTCGTGAAAAAGCACGACGGCGTCAAAACTCACGACAGGAGCTTCCGGTCTCCATGTTTATGTGCCAGATTTCCCGATCTGGATCGATCCGTCGGGGTTTGGGGGCTTGCGAGGGGCAATCATGCCGGACACGATGTTCCACGACGTCCGCATGTCTGCGTCAGGATTGCCTCAGGCCTCCCACATCGGGCCAGAGCAGATGGGGTCGGAGCATGGCGCCGCATCGCCGATGCGTCGGCCATGCGGCGCGATCTGCAGTCCGAGGAGATCTCTGTCCCGACGTCGCCCGTGCACCGGCGATACACCGGCGGCGAGGTGCCGACCACATCTGTGCTGGCCCGCCCCTGGGGCCCTGCAGGCGGGGCCGCGGCGGCCTCGAGGCGGCCTCCACAGGAGCACCTCCGCCCTCGTGCAGAGGAGGCGGCGGAGGCAGAGCGGCGGCGGGGCAGCCGGCAGAGGCTGGCGCCAGGGGCGGCGGACGGCGGCGGAGGTCGAAGCGAGACGTCCTCACTGGAAGTTCGAAAGCTGCGCGCACACCGGGCCCCCAGCGGCTGCTCTAGATGATCATCTCTTGCCAGTTTGAAGCATATCCCTATCCCCATGTTTGACATCACCCCACCTCGATGCCGATCTCAAGGGTTCCCTCAGTTTCTGAGGGCCTATCCCTAAGATTGTCCTCGCTTTCTGCTCGCCCATCTTAGGGATAGGGATAGGTTCGAGGCTGGTTAATCTCTGGACTCCGGGGAGGTCCGGGTCGGCCGCGCGGGAGGCCTCCGCCCTGGGCCATCGGCTCGGGCTCGAGGGGGCTGTTCGGCACGGGCCTGGGCTCCCCCGGAGGCCCTCGAGGAGGTGCGCGGCTGACGGGGGCACCCTTCGGGGGCGCCGGCAGGGGCGGGCCCGGCCCAGGCGGGGAAGCGACGATCCCCAGTCGCCCAGGTATCGCGAATCGGGGCCTGGTGTCTCCCCCCCCCTGGGGAGCGTACGATCGTGCTGTCGAGGCCCTGTCGACGATCTGTCGGCGACGCGTCGCCGACTCCAGGTCAAAGCTTCCTCGCGTGAGAAAGTGCTTCCCGGTGGCCCGCACGATCCTGGTGCTTGGAATGTTCCATACTTTTTAAACAAGTTGTGATACCAGAGCGCAGGCTCCACACAGCTTGTTCGAGTCCGGAGCTCTTTCCGCTTGGAACCCTCTGAGTGTAGAACTTCTTGCGCGTGGAATCGTATACTCGCGTGTGGAATACTATGCGCCTATGTGTGTCTGTGTGCAGCTTCATGTTTGTGGAGCCTTACGCGTGTGGAACGTCCACCCACGCTGAAACCCACGCCTGAGCCCCCGTCCAAGCCTGCGCCCAAGCCCGCGTCAACTCACACGTTCACACCCACGTCCACGCCGGTGTCCAAGCCCGCGTCCAAACGTATGTGCCAAGCCGCGTCCAAACCGACGTCCCAATCCACGCTCAAACCCACAGCAGGACCAACCTGTTACCCCCGCATCCACACCCGCGCCCATGCCCCTCGGGGCGGCAGCGGGGCGGTCGCTGCCAGCAACCAGGGCCGCCTGAAGAACCGCCAGGCAGAGCTCCTCCGCGCAGGCACGGTGTGGGGGCATGCCCTCGAGGAGGCACAGGTGATGCAGCTGCTCGCGCCAGGGTGCATTGCCGACGGCCGTGGCAAGTTCGCCCGAACGCAGCTTCTGCGGATGCGGCGTGGCGTGCGCAGCGGGGCCGGCACGCTTCGGTCGTGTAGGCGGGTGGCCCCGAGGCGCGGGGAGAGACATTGGCACGCCTTCGAATCGGGCCCCCCCAAAAGGGCTCAAACCTGGCCATTGGGACTCCATTTTCGGAGAGGAGGGGGAGGAGGAGGAGGAGGAGGAGGAGGAGGATGAGAGGAGGAGGAGGGGAGAGAGAGGAGAGGAGGACCAGGAGGATCAGGAGGAGCAGGAGGAGCAGGAGGAGCAGGAGGAGCAGGAGGAAGAGGCGAGGAGGAGGAGGAGGAGGAGGAGGAGGGGGAGGGGGAGGAGGAGGAGGAGGAGGAGGAGGAGGAGGAGGAGGAGGAGGAGGAGGAAGACGGGGGAGAAGGGAGGAGATAGAGGAGGAGGAGGAGGAGGAGGAGGACGAGGAGGAGAAAGAGGAGGAGCAGGAGAAGAACGTGTTATAGGGGGTCCTTCTTTTTCCCGAGAGGGCTGCTGCCAGTGGCGTGTGCCCCCCAGAACTCTCGACTTTATCTCCCAGGCTGGAAGGCATGTAGCAAGAATCCACGGAAGCGCCCGCCCCTCTTGGCTTGAGTGTCTATCGGCGCATAGCGCCCTCCGGCCCGAAACTGGGGCACCACAGGGGCCCCAATTGAAGATTCTCCCGCTTTCTTCCTCCCCCCCTCTCTTTCGTGCTCGTCCTCGGTCGGTCGCTCGATAGGCGAATGGCGAAGCCTGTTGAACATTTGCGGGTGGAGAGACCGCGTGTGGACAGAACCCCCACCCTGACACGTCGATTAGTGAATTGTCCGTTTTCGGTTCTCGAGAGGGCGCCGCGGCCGTCATTTTCCAGGCTTGCGCCCGCCAGGTTTGGGCCCGAGGTCGTTTTCACTAAACCACGTGTTACTAGAGGGGGTTCTGTCCATCCCCGAAAAGACAGAGCATGAACCTCTTCGGCCTCCTCATCCTTCCTCCTGCACCTTCCGATGCCGTCCACGGAGCCTGCAGCACCTGTCTAACCCCGAGAGCGGCGGCAAGAGGAGGGACGAGGCTTTATAACTCGGCGGGCTCTCGCCTGCGCAGCTCAAGGCTGATCACGGCGGCGACGGAGGGATAGGCCAGAGGTGAAGGAGCAACACATTACATAAACACGGTTTCTCTGAGCTCCGCGCGGATGTCTTGCATCGGCATTTTGTCCCCCCTACATGGCGTGCGGAGCGCGCCAGGGGCTTCCAGCGCCGATCCGAGAGATCCGCGTGGAGCTCCGAAAGCTTATGTTTACGCCGTGGCTTGTTCTTCGAGGAAGGGGCGTGGGAGGGACAAAGACGCGGCGAGGCGCTTCTGCGGCAGCGGCCGAATTCGCCCGAGCCCTTCTGCGCACTCGAGATGGCCCTGCCGCGTCGACCGCGTCGGGGCAGCAGCGACCGCGGCATGTTGGGCCCCGGTGCCTGCTGCGGTCAGGGGCGTTCTTGCTTCGCGCGTCGTGCCGGGGGAGCCACCTGCAGCGAGGAGGTCCACGATGCCTCCTCCTCCTCCTCCTCCTCCTCCTTCTCCTTCCTCCTCCTCCTCCTCCTCCTCCTCCTCCTCCTCCTCCTCCCTTCTCCTCCTCCTCCTGCGCTCGACCTCCTCCTCCCCCCCCTCCGAGCAGGGGGTAGGGGATGTCTCGAGCGAGAGGGGGGGGCACCACACCACGAGGGGGACCCCCCCGGCTCCTCCCGCTCGTGGACCCTGGTGGTGGTGCCGCTTTGCCTCGTTCCTACTCTGCGCGGCACCCCATGCTGCCAGAATGGGTTCGAAGCAGATCGTAATCGTCGGAGGATCGCGCCGCATCGCCGACGCATCGGCGATGCGGCTCGATGTGGAGCCCGATGTTTGTCCACGCTGGCGTCGCCAGTGCATCACCGATGCATCGCCGATGCGTCAGCGATGCACCAGTGATGCATCGGCGATGCGGCGGGGTCCTCCGACCCAAGGGGGCCCCTAGACACACCGACCACATCACAGTCCCCACGCGGCAACGTCCCGAGCTCTTCCCAGCCTCCCGCCCCGCGGAGCGGAGCGGCGCGCTGGCCGCTTGCTGGGCGCGGCGTGTCGAGGGGGCCGCCGCCGCCGCGGCGCGCGGAGCAGACGCCCCTGGCCGCAGAGCAGTGGCCCGACGCGTGAAGTGCGACGCGAGGGGGAGCGGTGCCCTGGTGGAGCCGGGGCGCGCAGCTGCTGCCGACGCCGACGGTTCGCCTGGTGCAGAGCACACACTGGCCTTGAGCGCTCGAGCAGCTGCCGAGGCCACACAATGGCCTTCTGAGATGCCGCAGTCGTCCTGGCTTCGGGGTGGGTGCGCTCAAATCACAGACAACGCGGCCGTTGCGTTCGGCGCAGTGCAAGGTCGGAGAAAAGGTAGATTCGTCTACGGCATGTTTCGGCCACGCGCAGAGGGGCGGTAGGGGGAGGGGGGGAGGCTTCACAGAAGCACCCCTGCTTCCTAGGAGGAGCGGGCCTCGTCTGTAGAGGTAGGGCCCGCGTCTTCCAAGAAGCAGCCTGGTTCTGAGAAGCCTCCCTCCCTCCCCCTACCCTCATGTGCGCGCCGCCTCATGTTCCTGTTCAAGAGCGGGACCCACATGGGGCGTTCCAAAAAGGGCCTTCCCTTCGAGGATCGAAGGAGTGGTCATCTCCTCCGCCGCGGAACGCGGCGGAAGGGTGGCGGCAGGTCGGCGGGAGTAAAGCGAGGCCGCCTCCGCCGCTGGCGGAAGCCGGCGGAACTCTGGCGGAAGGCGGCGGAAGCAAAAGATGCGTCCCCGAGAGATGAAAACGTTTTTGGCTCCCGGGCTTCCGCAGATGGGCCTGTTTTCCACCACCACCACCATAAGTTGAAGGGGGAGAGGGTCCCCCTTCTCCTTCTCCTCCTCCTCCTCCTCCTCCTCCTCCTCCTCCTCCCTTCTCCTCCTCCTCCTCCTCCTCCGCCTCCTCCTCCTCCTTCCCCCCATCCAACTTATGGTGGTGGTTGTGGAAAACATGCCCATCATCCGAAATCGCCCGCATGGTGCTGCAAAGCCCAGAGCCCCAGGGCCCGCCGGGCACCCCATACCGCTGCCGCACCGAGGGTGTGGTGCGGCGCCTCGAGCGCCGTGCCCCGGCGGCGTCGCCGCCAGTGCTCGGAGCGCGGGGGGCGCCGGAGCCGCCGTGGAGAGGTGCAAAAGAGACCACGATTTCGGCGGCGACGACAAAGGCGAATAGCCTCCTCCTCCTCCTCCTCCTCCTCCTCCTCCGGTCCTCCTCCTCCTCCTCCTCCTCCTCCTCCTCCTCCTCCTCCCTCCTCCCCTCCTCCTCCTCCCTCTCCTCCTCCCCCTCCTCCTCCTCCTCCTCCTCCTCTCCTCCTCCTCCTCCTCCTCCTCCTCCTCCTCCTCCTCCTCCTCCTCCTCCTCCTCCTTCGGGGCGGGCATTACACGTATTCGCCCGGGAGCCTTGTCGAAGACATAGATCATCGGCGCCCATAGATGCACGTTTTGCTCGCCCCTGGGCTATTCGCCCCTATCGTCGCCTCTGACAATGGCCCTCTGAGGTTGCGAAGACCTTGCGGTCGGACCGAGGCACAAGATCGAGGTCGGCTCGGGGAGGGTACCCTGATGACTCCGAAGCGCAGCGCCAGTTAGGAAAAAGTTGGCCGCCTCGAGCTTCTCGCAGCGAAGGGTGCTTGGATCTTCTGGACCGCGGCGGTGGCGTTTGAGACGCGTTTTGCGCGTCGCTGTCTTCAGTGCGTTGCGGATGTGTGCGCTGATGCGGGCAGGTTCTCCCAAGTCGCATTCTCAGCCAGATGGCCATTAATTGTGGGGGCACCATGTGGTTAGAGACATGTGTTTTGGGCCCACCGACAACCCTGGCCATCGGGCCCGCACCCCCAACAAGGGGATAATTACGCAGCATTGGTGCGCGCGAGCAGGCGTGGGGCTGCCCAGAGCGAAAAGGTTAGTTTATCGGCTGGCCCCCTTGGACGTGTGCATTTTTCCTCGGGCGAGGACCATCGAGGAGCATCCTTGATCATCTGGCGAAAAAAAAACGACGCACGAAACCGAACAAAAACACACGGAATGGACGTCCGAGCGATGGCCAGTTGGGTAACCCGGGTTATTCAGCCAAAAATGAAAAAAGTATGTCATTTCGTTCGGAAGGCTGCCCCCAAAGCGACCCACGAGGGCCTCAAGAGGGCTCCCAGAGCCGCCCAGTCGGCCACGAAATGGTTCCACCAAGCTCCTTTGGCGAGATGCGGGTCGAACAGTTGTATTCAGGATGGCCCGGATACCCCACATGTCCCCCAATCTGCGCTCCAAAAGACCCCAGGAGGCCCACCCAAAGAGCCGCAAGAGGACACCCCAAGAGAGGTCACGAAGAAGCTTCCGAAACGTCTCCAGAAGGCATGCCACGTTAGGGCTGCGCCACTCTGAAACATCGTAGGATGCTTCACAAACCGGCCCGGGATACTGCTACGGCAGGCTCGCGTCGTGACGGCCTCCGCTTTGGGTCTTACGCCGCAAGGATTTTTTGCAGCCTGGAACGCGATCCCTGCCCTCCTGCCCTCTGGCAGCGAGGACCGATTCCAGAGCACCCTCGGAGATCAGCCTTGAGCGGTCGCCCGCGGCGGGGGTCCTCCTCCTCCTCCTCCTCCTCCTCCTCCTCCTCCTCCTCCTCCTCCTCCTCCCCCTCCTCCTTCTCCCCCTCCTCCTCCTCCCTCCTCCTCCTCCTCCTCCTCCTCCTCCTCCTCCTCCGCCGCCCCTCCTTCTCCTCCTCCTCCTCCTTCCTCCCCTCCTCCTCCTCCTACTCTCCTCCTCCTCCTCACTCCTCACCTCCCCCTCCTCCTTCTCCCCCTCCTCCTCCCTCCTCCTCCTCATCCCTCCTCCCTCCTCCTCCTCCATCCTCCTCCTCCTCCCCCACTCCCTTCTCCCCTACTCCTCCCTCCCTCCTCCCCTCCTCCTCCTCTCCTCCTCCTCCTCCCCCTTCTCCTCCTCCCTCCTCCTCCTCCTCCTCCTTCCTCCTCCTAGACCCGCAGTGGCGCACTCGTCACCAGCGGCGGCCCGGGCGCCCCCAAAAACCTGCCCGGGAGCACGCGCTGGCTTCTCTCCACGGGGGGGGGCCCACGGCCGAGCTGCTCTGAGCTGCGGACCGCCTTCTGCCTTTTTCGGAAGGGGCCCGCTGCCCCGACGGCCCCTCCGCGGTTGTTCCTCGGGCCCTCCGCGGTGCACCCGGGCTCCCCCGGAGCAAGGGAGGGGGGCCTCGTTCCTGATCTCTCGGAGGTCGATGGGCCTCCTACCCTGATGGCAGACCTCCTGCCCTGACGCGTCGATTCGCGGATCGGCCGTCTTCGGTTCGCGAGAGGGCGTCGCGGCCGTCGTTTTTGCGGGTCAGGCCCGTCGGTTTCGGTCCCAGGCCGTTTTCCTTACAGGGTGGTTTACTAAAGGGAGGCTTGTCCACCGCCGAATCTAGTGTTCCTTATTTCAGCAGCCCGACTGTATCGCCGGTCTGTCGGCGATGCATCGCCGATTCCAGGTCAGTGTTTCCTGCCCTGGGCCAGTCCCTCCTTCCAGCTCCCCTCAAAGCAAGACACTGAATGACTCCAGGAGGAAGTCGGCCGAAGTGGACGGGGGGGCGTCCTCGTTGGGCAACCGCATGTGAAACCCACCCCTGCAGCAGGACATACTTCTGAGCAGCTGGCCGGGGCCCAGAACTTGAAGCATGTGCGCAGCCAAGCCTCACAGTGAACCCCAGCGGGGGTGTCCGATACTGCACCCTGAGATCCGACGTCACGAAAAAGTGCACTGTCGATTCCAAGGCAGCGTCGATTGGACCCGTAGCCCGCAGTCGGACGGGACTGGGACGAGGATACGTTCGTTCCAGAGCGTTCCTGAATGCTTCCAGAGCGCTGCGGAACGCTCTGAGGAGGCCGCGGCGCCCGAGGCATCCTCCAGATCCGCTTGATCTCAGAGATTCTCGATCTATTCCCATCTTATTATATCCTCGTCCTGGCTTCGTCTCACGTAGGGGTTCGCTCCAGAGCGTTCCGGAATGCTTTCAGAGCGTTGCGGAACGCTCTGAGGAGGCCGCGGCGCTCGAGGCATCCTCCACATCCGCCGGATCTCAGAGATTCTCGATCTATCCCCATCTTATTGGAGAGGCCTGACGGCCGGTGCCGCCGACCCTGATCGAAAGGGCTAGGAGTGGGAGGAGGATGAGGAGGAGGAGGAGGAGATTCTCGATCTATCCCCATCTCATTTCTATCCTCGTCCTGGCTTCGTCGCACGTAGGGGTCGTCGCGGGCGCAAAGCATATCCGAAGCCGCGGCCTCGCGGGCCTGGCCCAGCGCTGCGATCCCCCGCGGAAGTACGGCGCGTGTCAGGAGGGAAAGAAACACACTGACACAATTAATCGTCGATTCCCCAGAAAGTATGGGGAAAATATGGGAAGTGGGGGGGAAGACAGAAACCCAGAAAATATGGGAACATATGGGGAATCTATTTATTTGTGTGTATTTATTTGTGTGTCCTGGGGCCCCTTCAGTGTGTCGCGCCGCAGACACTCCGAACCGCGAGGCCGCGGGTTCGCGGGGTAGGGTTCGCCGCTCGTGGGGTCGGGGTCGCCGGTGGTCGCAGGCCCTCGGCGGAGCTGCCCTTCGCCCGCTCCTCCTTTTCTCGGCCTCCTGGGAGGCTCTCGTCGCCACCGCTGGATTCGCCTCGAAATCCTGGTCGCAGCGCACCCGGGGAGCGGTCCGGGGAGTAGCGATCTAACGGTACCGATCGGGTTCCCCAGGCTCTCTCTCTCTCTCTCCTGCGGGCGGGGCTCTGCCGGAGGCCGTGGCCGAGAACGCGCGCCTGCGGGCCCTCGTCGAGGAGACACCCCCAGGGGCGCAGAAGCCCGCTGCCAGACCGCCGCCGCCGCTTTTCCCCTGCGCGTCTCCGGCTGCGATGAGAATCGAGGAAGACGATCGAGGACGATCGAGGATCGAGGACGAGGACGGTCGAGGAGTAAGGGAGGAAGACCGAGGATCAGGGGAGGAGGACCCAGCAGGACGATCGAGGATCGAGGAACACAAATTTTCTGAGCTCTGCGCGGGTTTCTCGGATCCCCCCTGGCGGCGCCGTAGGCGCCGCCTCTGGCGCGTTCCGCGCGCCAGGGAGTGAGATCAGCGCCGATCCGAGCAATCTGCGCGCACCTCCGAAAAATGTCGCATGTGTACGCAGTGTTTTGTTCCACTGATCCTCCTCCCCAAGTCTCCGACGGCATGACGTTTCGATTTCCTCAGCTTCGGCCCTGGGGCGCGGTATAGCGCCCGGGGGCCATGAAAAATTGATCTGAGCCAGGAAGTTACCCATCGGGGAAGTGGTCGAGACCTCCGTGGGGAGTTGAACAAATACAAATCCTATCGTCGGATGGCTGGGTCCCGCTTTCTGTATCGTTCTCCCCCTCTTGGGAGGGGAGAGATTGAGAAAGCGGAGGGAGGGAGGAGGAGAAGGAGGAGGAGGCAGAGGAGGAGGAGATGGGAGGAGGGGGGGGGCGGAGGGGAGCACCCGTAAGAGCGGAAAGTCCGACTCGGGTGAGCTGGCCCGAAGGCGCTTCACAGTGCATCGGCAGCTGAAGCCGAAGCCAAAGCTAAAGTGCACAGAGAAATGGAAAGGGCCCACCCTGCAGGTTTGGTTGGCAGCACATCGTTGAGCGGTGCTGCAGCCTCCCCCGAGCACAGGCCCCCCCCAACAGCATCAGCCAGACAAGTCGGGTTTGCATCATCATGACTTGCTGGACTCAGGGCGCGCTTCGGCACTGCCACTGCCGCCGTCACCCCCTCGTCTGGGCCACCGAGTCGGGTGACGGCGACAGCGACAGTGGCGGTATATTGGCCCCCCATGATATAATGCTACGGTCTGCGCACAGGCAGCCCCCTCTGGTAGATCCGGCTGGCACAAACAGGTCCCCCGAGCATGACGGGGGCGGTCTCAACACAGGGGCGCCGCCGTAGGCGGCGCCAGGGTGAGACTGCCGCGCGGCGGGCCTCTTGAGGCCCGCCGGGACTACCTGGGTGGGCTGTCTGTGCGCAGGGAGGGAGGGAGGGAGGGAGGAGGAGGAGCAGGAGCAGGAGGAGGAGGAGGAGGAGGAGGAGGAGGAGGAGGAAAAGGAGGACGAGGAGGAGGTGGAGGAGTAGGAGGAGGACAAAGGCGATATGGGGATGCGGGTGTATCGGATAGGAGATGGGAGGTAGGAGATGGGAGATGGGATCGGGCAGGAGGCACGGGGGAGGAGGCCGACAGAGAGGGGAAGCGGGCAGGGGGCCGCGAGCCCGCCCCCAGGAGAAGGAGGCCGAGGCGGCAGCACGCCGCCTTGCCGCGGGGCTCCCCGAGGCGCCCTCGCGCCCCGGCACGGCCGCGGGCGCCAGGCCGGGCACGGCCTCGGGCGCCAGGCCGCGGCGGGTGGGAAGTTCGGGAGGATCAGGCAGTGGCGGAGCGTCCCGGCTCGCCTCATAGGCCCACCAGGGAGTGGTCTCTGCGCATCCTGAGTGGTCTGCACGAGATGCTCTCAGAACAGTTCTGGCTGAGACCGTGCTGTGTCAGCGCATCGGTCCACTTTCTAAGAGCACTGTTTTGTTCCCCACATCCAAAGTGGGGTTCTTGTTTTCTCTGCACACCCTCCGCGCAGGATCTCTCCTCATCCTCCTCCTCCTCCTCCTCCTCCTCCTCCTCCTCCTCCTCCTCCTCCTCCTCCTCCTCCTCCTCCTCC